GACCAAAATTTACCTGTAGACGTAGCCTACATTGACTTCAGAGAAGCTCTTAACAAAGTTCCACACAACCGGCAGTTATCTAAGTTAAGAAATGTCGGGGTTGGAGGCAAACTACTGATGTGGGTAAAAGACTTCCTAGTTGTGCGGCAACAGAGAGTACGGGTGAACTCCAAGTAGTCTAGCTAGGAAATTGTGCTTGGTGGAGTGCCTCAGGGTACAGTTTTGAGGCCAGTGCTATTCCTCTTGTATGTAAATGACCTTCCTCGTCTCCTATCATCATCGGTCTTGCAATATACTGACGATGTCAAGATATGGAGAACGATACTATGTAAGGGTGATAGATTAGAACTCCAGAATGACCCAGAGAAATTATCTGAATGGTCTAAAACCTGGCAGTTTCCGATAAATGCTTCTAAGTGCATTAGGATGCATATCAGTCATCATGGTGCAAATACGTATATGATTAATAAAATTGAGCCATCTGTTGTTCAGACACTCAATGACTTGAAAGTCATCCCTAGCCTAGACTTAAAAACTACTGCACACTGCCGTGCAATAGCCGCCAGAGGTCTTCGAACTTTATGTTGAATACGTAAGACCTTTAGTCATGTCAGCACCAAAACGTTTTTGACTTTGTATACAGTGTTCTTGGCCACTTCTCTATGATTGATTGCAGCCGCTCGTAGAATTGATCTTTAATGTCGTCGATGCTTTCATTGCTAGGTGCATAACATTGGATAATATTCATTATGATCCCCTCCTTCTTCGTTTTGAATGATGCTTTGATGATTCAAGATCCGTAAGATTCACATTCTAAGAGTGCATTTCGTGGTACAACATAGCAGAGTGGTCGTAGGCACACCTTCTACTCGTTGAGAGTAATCAGATGCTGGAATTTTCTGCCTTCTGAGCTAGTGCAAGCGGCTTCCAATGAGTCCTATAAGAGAGAACTTGACATGTTCTTACGGACTAAGGACAGCATTTCGTTATAACTTACCGAAGTTTTTCTCACTTATCACTAAAAATGCCTAGGTTCCAACCCGATGGTATCGGTGATCCACAGTTATTTTATACGGATGCCTGTTAAGCGAAAGCTTCTATCCTTTTCACAACCATTTTATCGTTGGCGTTTCAAAAAGGGCAGTGATTTCGTACTTGTTGTGATTATCCTTGCTTTTGTGTAATTATTGCATCAAAAGCATTCTTGGTCTAAATCAAAGTACTTTAGTTAAGGTTTGAAATCTTGGTAAAGTTTGTGTTGTAGTACCCTTTTACTCGTTGGCTGACACTGTGATCATACTGCAATCATATTGTGTTTTACACCTTAATCTGACTAGAATGGCTGGTAGTACTCACAAATGTGGACAACCAAACTGTTTGTTCCTTGTGGAGGAAGGAATGCAGTGTGATGAATGCAAAAAATGGTTCCATAAGATATACACCCGTTTAAGTCCCACTACATACAAAAGATGTTGGAAGCCTAACTCACATTGTCTCTGCATGTTTTGCTGTGCAAATAAGACGTTACTAATACAAGAGGCTATGAGCCTATTGGCTTTGGCCTATAAGAGAAATGATGGCGCATGGGTTGATGACACGAGCACTGACAGTGACGAATGTGTCAGTGTAATACGTGCTGTTACGAAACGCCTTAAAAAACCGACTATGACTGACGGAAAGGTGAAATCTCCGTTAACATTAACGACGGGGGTAGTACCACCTGATACTGACATTGGTAACCATGCACCCCTTGTGGAAACTAAAGGTCTGTATAAAACCGTCACTGCTCCAAATAGTCCCAGTGTCCTGAGGGATGAAAAATGGACCACAGTATGGAGAAAACGAAATGAAAAGAAAAAGGCTTCAGGCAATACGCAGATGGTTAGCAAGTCACTAAATGCACTACCAAAACCTGACGCAATGCCAAAATCTGATAGTAAAAGAGAAACCCCCTCTGGCATGAGTGAGAAGAAGAATCTAATCGCATCGAATATTATTGTGAGCAAATTGCTGGAGTCAAACGACCCTGATCCCAAAATTAGACACGCGCATGATTTAGAGAAGCTGGTAAAATATATTCGTAGTATCTTACCAGATGACTCTAAAGGAGTTCAGGTAAAAAAACTGGTTAGAATAGGCAAGAGGACTGCGGACAATGTTGAACCCTGACCATGTGGGCTCCTCAAGGTAATCCTAGGATCGGAGAAGCAACGGTATCTCCTGTTAAGCAGCACTCTCTGTCACGACAATTCCGATATACGGATTAGACTTGATATGTCTCTCGAAGATAGAATAAAAAGGAAGAAAGCATTTTCTGAGCTAGAAACCCGTCGGCAAAACGATGAGGAAAATCTCCGGCTAGTGGGTTTTCTGATACTCAGGTCTTGGAAGCGAATGCTACCAAGGCCTGTATGGATAGGCCGTTCTACTTGGGAGTTTTATGTGCCAATGCTCGTAGTCTAAGAAATAAGTTCTATGAACTAGAAGCACTAGTGGACAGGTTAAAGCCACTCATAGTAGCAGTGACAGAAACTTGGTTAGTCCATGACTTAGACATTACACCAGAATTATTCAGATACCATTATCTTAGGAGTGATAGACATAGATGTAGAAAAGGAGGTGGCGTCCTGTTATAGATGGACAATAATATAAATATCCGCTCCTCTACTAGCGAATCCCATGATAGCGGTACTTGTGAAACCATTAGCTGTAAATCGGCTATAATATGTAGTACATTTATGCTCAGTTTCATCTATCGCAACTCAATTGGCTTAGCTGATGACTTTACTTTAGAGCACATTCATCTTTGGAGTGCAAATACAAGATGCTATATAATAGGAGACTTTATTGCACTTGATATTAGTTGGAATGAGATAACCACGGAAGGGTCGATAAACTCCTTTGATAGTAGGATCCTGGTAACAATAATGGAGCATACAATAGTGCAGCATGTATCCAAACCCACACGTTTTGGTGCTAACCAAGGTACTTCTCTGTTGGACTTGGTAATCACTCATGAGACTGAAGATATTGTTGGCCAAAATATTCTTCCGCCATTAGTGAGCAGCGATCACGCTGTTTTGTCATTCATGCTTAGAACTGGTTACATGTTATACGATCAGATTACACCCCGCCCAAATGTATGGAAAGCTAACATATCAGCCATTCAGGAATGAACTGCTAAGACAGATTGGTTTGTAGATACTAGCTTATCAGTTGAAGAATCACGGTCTGCACCTAAAGATAAGTTTAGTTCAGTTACGTCCCCGTTCATACCATACCTGGTACCGTGAAGACCGAGTAGCAGTCGACCATGGATAACGAAAGCAGTCAGGAAACTTCTTAGAACAAGGAAGAAGCACTGGAATATGTTCATCTCTACTGGCTTAGAACAATACAGATCCAGTTATTGTAAGATTACGAATGAGTTAATAAGTAGGACTAGATGACCATATGAAAAACAATTGGCCAGGGGTTCTAGATATAGTCCGAAACGGTTATTCTCGTATATAAAAAGGCGAACTCAGAGAAACGATGGAATTCCATCACTTTTGATAAAAGAAAATCCGTTAATCTTGGCAGAAAATGATGTCTAAAAAGTTGAAGCTTTATCGGAATATTTCGGTAAAGTGTTTTCTATCGGTAATGAGGAACAACCAACGATTCACTATGATCTCGGCGGCTCACTGATGGACTCTGTAGTCATTGAGAAAGGTACTGTTTTTTTAGGCTAATTCATCATCTCAGACCTGATAAGTCCAGTGGTCCTGATGATATTCATCTCAGGATTATGAAAGCCATATAAGATGTAATTGCTTCACCATTAGCGATACTGTTTGACATGTCTCTGAGGCAGTCTAGACTGCCCAGAAACTGGAAAGACGCTATAATAAGTCCAGTGTATAAGGCTGGGCGTAGGGATTTATTTAGTGACTATAGACCCATTAGCTTAACTAGTGGAGTTGTAAAACTGATGGAAAAAATCATTTCGATATCTGTTATAAACTATGTTGAAGGGCATAATCTTTTCTCCAGGGAACAATAGGGTTTTCGGATAGGCCTATCATTCTTGATAAATCTTCTCATTACAAGAAAAGATTGGGCTGCTGCAAAAGATCGAAATATTCCTGTGGATATGATCTTCATAGATCTAAGTAAGACCTTCAATAAGGTCTCCCATTCTGGTTGTAAATTCATTGGTGGCATGGTTGGATAGGTGGTCACTAGACGTAACTCCTAATAAGAGTGTGGTGATGCAAATAAATAACTATGGTGAATCGTATCACTATACAATATGTGGATTCGTGCTACCCAAAGTAAGAAACTATAAAGATTTAGGAGTCATACTGAGCAGTGATCTCGAAAACCCCTAGTCACTGTAGGGCTGCTGCTGCGAAAGGCTATAGGGTATTATGGTTATTTCGTAGGTCTTTCCAGTATTTAGATGATGAAATGTTTAGATTATTATACCCGATTTACGTGCGACCACATTTAGAATATGGGATTCAAGCAGCAAGTCCTTGTTTCAAGTATGAAGAAGAGATGCTGGAAAGAGTTCAACGACGAGGTACTAAGATGGTACAAGGTCTATCTGACCTATCTTATGAAGACAGACTGAGACACCTCAACTTATTACCGTTATCTTACCGTAGGGTACGGAGTGATCTAATATTGGCTTATCGTATACTGAGCGATGACCTTGGTAATAACATGTCTTATCTTTTACTTCCGTCCAGGACTGATCACTTGAGAGGACATTCGAAGAAAGTTCAAAAACCTAGGTGAAATCGTTTACGTCTGAAGTTTCTTTTCTCGCGCCGAGTAGTGAATTACTGGAATTCTCTACCAGAACACGTAATATCAGCACCTTCCGTTGATATATTCAAAACGAGATTGTACCTTCACAGTATCACAAACTGCAAGGATTAATATAGGTCGATAGACCTCCTATCCTGTTTACTGAAGACTGAAGACTGGACCATTCGATTTTGAAGCGCGGTAATCGAAGGTTGCGTAGCCTCCATACAACCAGTCGTCTATCAGCCTAATTGTGATGGCAGAGAGCTCGTCTTGGAGTTTTGATGAAGCTGATTTGTCTGCGTGTTTCGATGACACGATGAACGGCATCGGCGTAGGCGTCCGATCAATGTTTAATATGCGGTAAATTCTCTATTTTAGCATCTTTGAGAGAGAGAGTATTGTCAGGACCTGGGTAAATTAGGTTAAGAATGCCACATATAAGTTTTATTTTATCAACTCATCAAGAGTACTGCATCTTTATATCAGTTTACTCATGTTCTCTGCACAAAACCTGCCGAGACGTCTAAATGATTTTGCACAGAATAAGCTTAAGCTTTCGCTTAACAGGCATCCGTATAAAATAACTGTGGATCACCGATACCATCGGGTTGGAACCTAGGCATTTTTAGTGATAAGTGAGAAAAACTTCGGTAAGTTATAACGAAATGCTGTCCTTAGTCCGTAAGAACATGTCAAGTTCTCTCTTATAGGACTCATTGGAAGCCGCTTGCACTAGGTCAGAAGGCAGAAAATTCCAGCATCTGATTACTCTCAACGAGTAGAAGGTGTGCCTACGACCACTCTGCTATGTTGTACCACGAAATGCACTCTTAGAATGTGAATCTTACGGATCTTGAATCATCAAAGCATCATTCAAAACGAAGAAGGAGGGGATCACAATGAATATTATCCAATGTTATGCACCTAGCAATGAAAGCATCGACGACATTAAAGATCAATTCTACGAGCGGCTGCAATCAATCATAGAGAAGTGGCCAAGAAATGTCCTCACCATTCTGATGGGAGATCTAAATGCCAAAGTCAGAATAGACAACACCGGATGTCAAGATATTATGGGATGACATGGAATGGGACAGAGAAACGAAAATGGAGGAAGATTTTAAAATCTGTGTGCATTCAACAAATTGGTCATAGGATGCACAATATTTCCACACAAACGTATACACAAACCTACCTGGATCTCACCGGACCACAACACAGAGAACCAAATAGATCATATTTGCATCAATAAAAGGTTCCGAAGGACAATGGAAAATGTAAGAATCAGGAGAGGAGCTGACATAGCTTCAGATCACCAACTAGTTGTAGCCAATTTAGAACTGAAGCTAAAGAAGAACTGGACAAACAGCACTACAAAGTTTCAATACAGCCTTCTTTCGAGATACTGACAAACTCAATGAATTCAAGATAGCTCTCAACAACAGGTCCCGAGCCTTACAGGATCTACTGAAGGAAGAAGAATTTACTATGGAGGACAACTGGAAAAGTATCAAAGAAGCATTAACTTCAACGTGTCAAGAGGTCCTGGGCCTGAAGAAGCATCATCATAAGGAATGGATCTCTATACAAACACTGGACAGGATCAGAGAAAGGAAAAACAATAAGGCAGCAATTAAAAACAGCCGAACACGAGCAGAGAAAGTCCAAACACAAGTTGAGTACACAGAAGCAAACAAGGAAGTGAAAAAGAGCTTTAGAGCTGACAAGAAGTACGTGATAGAACTAGCAACGACGGCGGAAAAAGCTGCTAGAGAAGGAAATATGAAACAGCTTTACAATACAACGAAGAAACTATCAGGGAAATACAGTAAACCAGAGAGACCGGTCAAAGACAAAGAAGACAGGCCAATCACTGAAATTCAACAACAACGGAACAGATGGGTAGAGTACTTCGAGGAACTCCTGAATAGGCCGGCTCCAATGAATCCACCGGACATCGAAGCAACACACACAGATCTTCCTATAGATGTCAATCCACCAATGACGGAAGAAATCAGAATGGCCATCAGACAAATCAAGAGTGGGAAAGCAGCAGGACCTGACAATATACCAGCTGAAGCACTGAAGTCAGATATCGAAGTAGCTACAAACATGCTTCACTCTCTATTCAAAAAGATTTGGAGGAGGGACAAGTGCCGATGGACTGGAAAGAAGGACACCTCATCAAGATTCCAAAGAAAAGAGATCTGAGCAAATGTGAAAACTACAGAGGCATCACACTACTGTCAGTACCAGGGAGAGCATTTAACAGAGTGTTGCTGAACCGGATGAAAGACATAGTAGACGCCCAACATCAAGATCAACAAGCTGGATTCCGTAAGGATCGGTCGTGCACAGACCAAATCGCGACAGTACGGATCATCGTTGAACAATCAATTGAGTGGAACTTGTCACTGTACATCAACTTCATTGATTATGAAAAGGCATTCGACAGTGTAGATAGGAAGACGTTACGGAAACTTCGACTTTATGGAGTTCCTGAAAAGATTGTCAACATTATCTGGAACTCACAGGACGGAATACAGTGCAAGGTCGTGCACCGAGAAAAACCGACAGATGCATTACAAGTAAGGACCGGAGTCAGACAAAACTCTACTCTCTCTCTTTCTTCTGGTGGTCGACTGGATTATGAAGACCTCGACATCTGGGGGAAAACACGGAATACAATGGACAACTCAGAACCAATTAGACGATTTTGACTTCGCAGCTGACCAAGCCCTCCTATTGCATACACATGAACAAATGCATATAAAGACAGCCAGTGTAACAGTAGTCTCTGCATCAGTAGGCCTCAACATACACAAGGGGAAAACCAAGGTCCTCAAATTCAAAACGGAGAACAGCAATTCAATCATTCTTGATGGCGAAACTCTGGAAGATGTAGAATCCTTCACATACCTGGGAAACATCATCGATGAACAAGGAGGTTCAGATGCAGACGTAAAGGTGAGGATTGTCAAAGAAAGGGTCGCATTCCTACAATTGAAGAACATATGGAACTCAAAACAACTGTCTGTCAACCAATATCAAAGTGAGGATCTTCAATACAAATGTCAAGACAGTTCTACTGTACGGAGCCGAAACTTGGAGAACTACTACAACCATCATCAAGAAGGTACAAGTATTTATAAGTAGTCGTTTACCCAAGATATTCAACACCCATTTGCCGGACACCATCAGCAATAGCCTTCTGTGGGAGAGAACAAACCAGCTTCTAGTTGAAGAGGAAATTAGTAAAAGACGATGGAAATCGATAGGACATATATTACGCAAATCATCAAACTTCATCACGAGGCAAGCTCTAACTTGGAATCCTGAAGGTAAGCGAAGAAAAGGAGGGTCAAAGAACACATTACGTCAGGAAATAGAACCAGATATGAAAGGGATGAACAACAACTGGAAGTAGCTGAAAGGGATTGGCCAGGACAGGGTTGGATGGAGAATGCTGGTGAGCGGCCTATGCTCCTTCACGAGGAGTGACGGGCGTAAGTAAGTAAGTATCGTTAATTATGCCTAGGTTCAAACCTGATGGTATCGGTGATCCACTGTTACTATATACGGAAGTCTGTTAGGTGAAGGCTTCCATGTTTTCCAGTGGCCTCTGGTCGATTTGAAGATCTTAGAAAAATTTAGGATGAATTTTCGGAAGCTTTAATTTCTACATATTTTTTCTCAATTACAATACTCGCTGCTTTTCAAAGCCAAATTTTACTAATGTATTGAAATATCTTTTGCGTTTTGGGTACTGCTTACCTCGATCATTACTAAGCTTCGTGGTGCTGCTAAAAGCCGAACTAATTGGTATATCAGTTTATGTCATTTAAGACTGCATCCTCCTTGGTTAGTGATGACCACTATCTTTTTCTACAGTGTAACTTTTTTGGTAGTCATTTATATGTCGCTATTTTTTTTGAAGAGGGGATATAAGTGTCTGGGACCGCTCTTAATGGTTATGGGTTGCTTGTAACGATGAAAAATGTATCACGTGGTAGTTTACCTCATAGGTTTATTTATAGGACCTTTTTAGCTCTTGACATTAAATGTATCATGATAGTGTTCGTTGGCTATTAATGTGTTATTTATGAGTGCTATGTACGCTTTCTGAAATCTACGTTATCGTTCCGTAATTTATTCTAATATCTTTATGCAGAAAACTGGACGGTTTTCGTGCAAAAATCGAGTATTATACGGTGAAACAATAGTAATCACCCATACAGTCACTTCTAATATTGCACATCTTACAGTGGAAACACTACATATTGTTGTGAAAGGCTCTCACCACCATGAGGTGTCGCTAATTGATACATGGTAATATACGATAAATGAGGCTTATTTAACTACGAATCGTGTGTGATCGTTGCTGTTTCAATAATCATGAGTTCCTTAAGTCATTGGAAATCAATCGATTTTGAAGAGGTTATAATAGCTGGTGGGCGAATACTTGAAAATTGCTTAAACGTGTCTTAAAAATTTCCTGGCATTAAGTAAACTATGTTATTAGCGAAGTGGAAAACAGCTGTCAGATTTTCATTAATTAAATTCTTTTGTAGGTTCTCCATAGCTAATTGTAATACATATTTTCAAAGAAAAGTATGTGCTGTTATTATGTTTTTGTAGCGCTGGTTCATTGGTTAAAGATTCGGGATTTTGATTATTAGGTGTCAAGTTCATAATCCTCTCCACCTACGTCTGTTCTGTCAGCTGGGTAGTACCGCTGGTTACACAAGTAAGGTAGCTTAAAGTAGGTTATAACTAAGTACCCTGCATGTGAACTTAATCAGGCTTCAGTAGTTCTATTAATCCAAGATGCATAGAATACTGTTCTTTCGCTTAATTGGAAAATTAATATTTCAATCAACTAGGAGTGGGACTGACAAGATGCTATAATATTCTTTTTATTTTCATTTTTACTTGGACTATTTTATGTAGTGACGCTCTGTCAGCTTTACCACTCTGTAATGATGAAAGTAAGCTTTCTGATGATTCAAACCATGAAGGTTTATCAAATTTCTCTATGTTGTCTAGTAATTCGGCGCAGACTGTGTAAGTTTTAGTTCTCATATTATTCGTTTTATTTCTATCATGTCATTTGGTATAATTTATTTCTAAGACATTTTCGGTATCATTTTAAGTAATAAATATGTACGTTCCTAACAAGTTTGTACATAGAATTGATAAGCATAAGCATTCCAAAAAAGTATCTAGGTGATGATAAGTGGCAGCGAGTCTATGGTATTTAGTTAGCCTCTGATAGTGACGAAGAACTCTTTTGATTAGCATATTGGTACTTTGAAATTACAAGGGAGGGTTTTGGTATTCAGTCCTCTCATTTTAGTATTTTTTTGGCATGTATACACTTGTTATTACAAATAAAAGTCAGCAGTCAACAAATTAAGGTGAAGCACTCATTAGCAACGGATAAAATCAATAATCTTTCTCCATAGTTTACCAACTCAATCAAAAATTTTATCGTTCACTATTCGTATGCGAAAGAATGCAACATGACAATACGTGACCTATGTAGCTCATCACATCTACTTGATATTATCAGTTTAACATATCGAAAGTTTAAGAATTTATGGGCCAAAAAGATATCAAGTTTAAATCCAATAGTTCAGTAGTAGAATAATAAGTAAATATGACAACTTTCTATTTAAGAGTCCATCGAAGTTTACTTTAATGAAAATTCTGACTACTATTTGAAAACTGGGTCAAATAATTCAAGAGAGCTATGGTGTGATCTTTTCATAATCAAAAAGGTTGATTTCAGTTTTTTTTATTTCGTTGGATTAAATTCGTATCTTCTTCAAAGTAATTAATGCATGTTTTATTTCATTGCCTTGCTTTTTGAATGTGTTTTGTTCTTTAAGGTGGACGGTTTAATCGTGAAGCTTTCATTGCCTTTCTCGATGACATCATCAGAGTTGAGAAGAGTTCCAGAAAAACACTAAAAGCGTCACAATTAAACCATCCAGCTAAGAGGACGAAACACCTTCAAAATCCTCACCTTGAGCTACAAATTCTCTTTACAATTGCTTTGCATACATGGTATGTATGTGTAATATAATTAGACTAAACTAAACGAAGTATAACGTAGCAGATTACTGGATTATTCGAAGTTGCCAGAATTCTTATCAACAGAGTAGAATAAAACTAGTGAAAATTTCAAACCAAGGTAGGGAAAAGTTAACCAAGTATTCTATGTTTCAAGTGAATATTCAATATCCTCTTATGTAACTTCCTACAACTTCTGGTCTGAACCATGTTATTAGATGCAGACTACTTGGTTGGGGTTCGCACGACTATCGTAATCAGCGGTTGAAGACTGTGAGTGACATGACTCAGGATCGATTACAATGGTGTAGGCGTATACACTCTTTGTCTTCCCTTAAACCGTGAGATTAAAATTACTTTATACTTTTCTTTGAACTAATTCTTTCTTCCTGTATTATATCTCTATATTTAATGTTTATTTATAAATATTACTACGATTGAAGTAACTGCATCTATGAATTTGATGTTCATCTCGTTATGCTAATGAGGTGTGACAACTTGGACCGATGCATACATGTGCTTGGTCCTACTTTGTAGCTGACTAACTATGAAACCCTCAATTTATTTGATATTGTGTGACCGTCCTAAAAGTGCTCCTTTCTCTGTTTCGTTTGTTCATTACTAAGTACTAACAATTCATGTTATAACCGAATGACTTTTAGACTGTTTTAGTTTTCATTTTATTCGATTTTTGACTTGGTAATGCTATCGAAATTAACCTTAATTTGCATAGCGAGTTTAAGTATGCAATTAGTTTTTGAAGTTTGCCTGTTTAATAATATGTTTCTTTAATATTTCCGTTTAGTGACAATACTTTTATTTCAATGGCTGATACAAACTCTCATTTGTTTGATAACATTTTGAAAGCTCCAACATCATCGGCTACACGATTAGGTGAAGCGTCTTTAACTTACTTAAATCAAGGTAAATATTATCATTTATATTGGTCTTCGTTCTATTGTGTTGATTCAGTTTATTTCTATATTATTGAATATGTATATTATTTGCCATATATACTTCTTTCCAATCATTTCCTCTTCTGTAAAAATAATTCTTATTCCTTTCACATGGTTCCACTCTTTGAACAAGTCATATTGTTTCTATTTGGAAAGTACAGTGCAGAATAATTAGAATACTGTTGTAAAAATGGAGACACTTTCTACATTGCTTCTAGCAAAATATTAAGTAGTTTCACAATTAGCGGATAAATGTGCTCTTAGAACAGCTATAAAACACCCGTAAAATATTTTAAAAAAGTTTCCTGTTGTGTATGTTGGAAAGTTGTATGATGCTGATTAAGGAAATAACCATGAATTTTGTATATTATATTCAAAAAATTATACTACAGTGTAAAACATTTGTGTCAATAGCTTACGCTTATAATTGGTAAAGTTATGCTGTAATTCAATCAGTGATTTACGGTGTGAAACCTTGAAAAAGTGGTTATCATTTCTAGTTGTCACAATTTGTAGCCATCACACTTAAAGTGTTACTCAAAGCCACATACATAGAAATATCTAGATGATGAGTAAATTATAATAATTTTGTATCCGAAGTAGATAAAACTTTGGGCAAATTCCGGGAACTATTTATAGGTTTCATATAGTGGGGGCTGAGATTACGTTCTCGATTCAACGGGTAGGGTTAGATGAAAAGGACCAATAAGGACTCGGAGTTGATTCTAGGCTGCTCGTGCTGGTTATCGCATCATTGGTTTGACACAGTAACAAGGTCATCTAAGTCGATATTCTGATGAGCGATCTTATTACATGATAATTGACAGGGAAAAAGTCATAGCAAATCTCGTCAGAGAGTTTCTCACTATTGACTTCCTTGATTCTACCGATCACAGATTTTTCACCAGAACTTTCAGTAGCTTCATTTCAAAGATAATCGGTCACTAAAGAATATAGCACAACTATTATTTACGCAGCTGATTCGTGGACGTCTCCATAATTTGAAGATAATTCTCATCATGAACTATCATTAGATAATAAATATTTAATAGTGATAAGTAAATAACCTTGGCTACACTGATTGACGTGATACACGTTAAAATGCCTAATTCAAAGCATATAAATTTTTATATATATATGGACAGTTTAGTTGTAGAGCTTTCATTGTCATTCTAGACATTTTAGACACCTACTTCATTTAAACCATCTAACTCTGAGAATTAAACACTATTAAAACATCCTTTTGAACTAAAACTTTTCTTCATCACTTTATAGTCTATTCTGTCAGGCTTATCCCATACTTATATTCTTATAATTATTTACAGGACAAACGTATGAGCTTAAATTGAACTCGAAAACACCAGATATAAAATTTATCAAGGTAATTCGTAGTAATTATATATATATATGCAGTGGAAATTCGTATATTTCATATCGTTTTGAAACTTCATGTTCGTTATTGGTTGCTATAGTTTATATTTTTGTTGTTGTTGACATTCTTGGACTAAATTCAATCAATTTACGTCTATACATAAACGCTTGAAGTGGAAACCTCGATGTCATCTGTCTCAACAAATTGATTAAATGTTTGGATAGTAATTGTCAGTGCGTTTTATTTCATTCACTGAGATCAAGGCTATGACATCTAGCACAATGTCACGCCTACATGGATTAGTCTTGATTTTAGATAGACCAATCAATTCGTTCTTTTTGAGTCAGTATCCACACTTATTTTGACCTTATCAGTTGTTCACCTATAACTTTATTTGAATGTATATGTGTGTATCGATGATTTTATTTTTCATATGTTTTTAGCTTTTTCTACCTGACCATAAACAGCCACGCTTTGTCTAATTGAGTTAGTACGCGTACTTTTGCTTCACTTTCGTATTTTTCGTCTTGGTGTATATCCGAATAGACAAGTGACTGAAACAAATTCTTCCAACTTAATTATTATTTGGCTTTTTATTACCGCTGTCACCCAAACGGGGTTAGCCTATGTACAATATTCGAAATCGAACAGAGAATTTATATTCATGGTTTATCAATTAATTCGTTCATAATGGAATCATATTGCGAGCTTGGAGAGCAACTAGACATGGCATTACTACAATCCACTTAGATATTTGTTGTGAATTGAAATAGGATGGTTGAGAGCGATTATTCTAATACTCAGTGGGATCTATGTTAATTGGATAGACAGGACAAATAATACACAACACGGTGAAGGTATATTATACTGACGATCTTGGGAAATTTATAAGCTAATCAGGAAAGGCTGCATAATTCTGAAACAGTTAACAATAAAAGCAATAGAATAACAGTTTCTTGACTTAGTATTCATAAATACGGTGCTTTTTCATGTGAAATTCCCATTTAACAGTGAACTATTTTTACTAGCTCACTGCGAAGATTTCCGTCTTTTTGTTTCCATCAATGAATTTTTGATAGTTGATTGTAATTATATTGACATGGTTCATAATCGTTTGCAATGGCGCAGGTGCATCCACTCTTTGTGTTCTCCCAAATTCTAATCTCCTGAATCCTCCTTGTCTCTTTTTTCCCTTTCCAAATTTATTTCACTGGATTATACTCTTTAAATAACATCTTCAAACCCCGATCTTTCCGATTACTGCTCATACTCTTACCGCCTCTACCACTACGGGATTTGGATCGATAACTGCATCTCTGTGCTAATGTGGTATGGTAACTCGGACTGATGTACGTACGTACGAAGTTCTACATTGTTACTGACTGACTGACTTAGTTTTCAAGCCTTTACGACGTTGCTTATATCAGTTTATTTCTTTTACATCTATACGTCTTTATCTTCAATCCGAGCCTATTATTGTTCCCATTTTTTCTTTGTAGACATGGATTCGAGTTACTTTCTATGATAAACGGATGGAATTAAATGAACACGAGCTTTGGGATAACTGGCATCAAACACACCCTGGTGAAAACCTCCTAGACGTAGGTGAGCGTAATGATATTCCAGATTTCTACTTAAAGTTGTAGAATGTTTATGTTTTATTCGCATATAGATTGCTTTTAAATCTTCTTTAAGGTGTAATTCCCATCTATCCTTTTTCTAAACATGTGTTCGCAAGTTATTAATCAAATAAATATAACTGTTATGCGCTAGACGATAAGTTCGATGTAAGGGATATTTATTCCGGATTATACAGCCGATCGTCATTAAATATTTCAAGTGGTCCATACAAAAGTAGAACTGTAATTTCATTGTCTAAACATCGCACTTTCAACTTTCGGACCATATATCAAACTGACTGTATCTACTTTGATTGATAGACAGAAACATAGTTAATGTATAACCGAGCAAAGTTGGTTGTTGATCCAAGTCACCGTTCCTCACAATAACACAATATAAAGAAGTTAATATGATGAAAAGCAAATGAATAAATATACCAATGGTTGTGTCTCGAGTAAAGGAACGACAATGCCTGATAGCACAAAGGCGATGGCTACATTAGGTTTTAGTTGTAATCACGAATGATAGGTTATGATGTTCTAAGGACTTCATGTTTTCTAGCTTAAAACCAATTGGTCGTCTAAATTACTGTCCACTATATAAACTCCTCTTAAACATCTCTTAAAAGTTTGAACGTACACAGAATAATGTAATTAAACAGTAGTTATAATTTTCATCATTTGATTTTGGTGAACATATCTAAACTAGTCAATTTTTACGAGTCCACCAACTTGGATAAAATGGCTTTATTAAACCGATTTACATGCATTTGCTTTGTTTCATATTATCTGCACATTACTCCATCTAGCAGTGGAGCTGAAAAACCAAAACGTAGCGTCAGTCATTCAAGTCATTAACTGTTGATTTGAATCATATCAAGAGGTATAGGTTTTATAGTTTCGATTTGTGAGACCTCAGTACATTTATTCTTTATCACCTATGTCTAAGTTTTTTTTCATTACAATGAATACTATTATCTCGACTAGCGCAAAAAGTCCTATGTGAGTTACGCCGCCTTCTGTGTTGAGTTGTTAGATAACCATATATATATACGCGACTTGAATAAATTAAAAATTAGTAAGTATAATTCCACTCATATTGTTGAGTAAATCCTTATTTTTCTTCAAAAAAACCCACTTTACAGATTATAAAAGATCGAATGATTATGAAGAATTAGATAATGAAAATACTCCATCAGATGATATATTATGTATATGGAAATATCCGAAATGTACTATTGGTTTACGATTTAATTGTGTCAGTACTGAATTCACTGCTAAGAAACATGGTGGTGAAAAAGGAATTCCTTTTCGATTTCGGGTAAGTTGGTTTTTATTAGTTTAGGGGGTTTATGCAGATAGTTGAATCTCTTTGTTTCCTGTAAAAAATTGGTCGTAGACAGTCATTAAAAGCCTGGAAGCACAAGTCTGTTATTTCATTTCTGTATAGGATTCCTCGACCCCTCCAGGAATCAAATCTAGAACCTTTTCATCTCAAAGTGGGTGTTAATTTGCAGACCATTGGATTAACACCCAATGACTCATATTTCTAGCTTCAATCAATCCTTGGTATTGCGAGAGATGATTCTCGGAGATCTAGTGAGCTGTATTTTACCGGTAAAATTCAACCATATCGGAACTAAGGCAGTGGTTTGCCAATGACATTGGATGATATTTGAACAGTATTGCGAATTGATTAAAATTGGACCATTAAATTCAGGCTAGTTAGCTTAAAGTTTGAGGGTTTTCAATGAAACCTAGTCTTAGGTTCGACCTTCAATCGAGTTGTGAATACGTACTACTAAGGAGATCCCTTACTAGGACGATAAGATTGTACAATGATTCTTGACTTTCAGTAGTTGTTTAACAAAGGTGGGTTAGTGATTTGAACTATGAAATGTTAATTTTGTTTAATTTTTGCAATTTCATTTTCTAAAAACGATGTACATTATAAAAATTTGAGGGTTTATGTCAACCATAGACTTAATCACTTCTTAACTTGCATTCCAGTTTGTAAAGTTATTTAGCTTCACTAGCTCTCACCTAAACTGCCTAATAGTCAGGTATATAAGTCTGTACTTAGTAAAAATTTTATGTATCCCTTAACAATGTAATTTAAAAATAGACGACATCAACAAACAACATAAGATTGTTTGTTTTTAGTATTTATGGTATTTAATTAAATTAGTTCATTATAATATTACAATATATTACAATATTCTCGTCGGGATATAACAGTGTATACGCTCTTTGTCTTCCCTTAAACCGTGAGATTAAAATTACTTTATACTTTCCTTTGAACTAATTCTTTCTCCCTGTATTATATCCCTTTATTTAATGTTTATTTATAAATATTACTGCGATTGAAGTAACTGAATCTACGAATTTGATGTTCATCTCGTTATGCTAATGAGGTGTAACAACTTGAACCGATGCATACATGTGCTTGATCCTACGTTGTAGCTGATTGACTGACTATCTAACCGTTTGTTTTAATAGTTTAATTCGGGGATTATTTTTACAAAAAATCTTTAGGTAGAACATTTTGAATATGATACTAATCAACATTTGGGATCATTCGCTTGTCAAATTAAAGTATTCAAAATGAAGGGAGCTGATCGTAAGCATAAAACAGATCGAGAAAGAATAGAGCGTAAATCTGGTGATGGTCAGGTAAATGCATTTTGAATATAATTTGTGATTTCTCGATTTTAACCTTCACCTTTTTTCCAAATGTTCATTAAATTAACAGATAGCATTAATATAGAATCATTGTAGAGATGGCAAGCTCTTGTAAAACCTTTTGTTTGGAACTCATTAATGTACTTTGTTGGCCTATACGACCTACACGCTTCGTAATGTTCATGTTACCATCAACCCAGTCGATTGTTATCTGATGAATAGTATTTTAAGTTTCAATCACACAATACCCAATGTAGCGCGAACACCACGTAGTGCGACTAATAAATACTCTTGCTTGTTGAAGTTTCGAGATAATAGTCATTCGATTTTGTCGTACTATTATCAGTGACGACGTTTCCATCACCTGACCTGAAAGTTCCAAAGCGTTTATACTACTAATTATTTTCTTTTCTCTTTTTTGTCCAAATAAACTGTAAAAAATCTGAAACTCGTATTATATACAACAAAGTTCATTAATTGAATGCCAGTCAATTATATTCGACGTTTAGACTAGAATAAATGTGCACCGAGTCAAATTACCGTACATCAATACAACAAAACGAAATCTTAAGGATAAATAAAAAAGCAGTAGCAGTGGTACTAGTAATCCTATTCTAGTAATAATATGTTCACCAGTGACTAGTCTCATGATGCAACCTCCCAAGTTCCAGTGAGAAGCCGTGACCAATGGAGTTCAACCATTTTGGATGTGAGACAGTTTTCCACCTCAGGCAATAGATGATGATTGCACAATATCGTGAATTGATTGAAGTTAGACATTAATACCATTAGATGCTGGGTCAGTGGTTTAGAGTTTAAGCATTTGCATACGAGATCTAACGTCCTGGCTTCGGATCCTTGATGCGAGGTTATTGATGCCCACTGTTGGAACAAAATAGTCGTCTAGTGCTTTCTATTTTTCACTGGTGGTCTAGCTAAGTTCAATTCGTGATTTAAAACTATGAAAATTCTATAGTGTCCACAAATTCTCCTATTTTAATAATCAGTTTCATCATTATTAATCAAAAAGTCTACATAGAGATTATAATTTAAGAGGAATGATTTAGTTCAGGGAATTATAAGCATAAAATAATTTTGAAACTCATGATCTTATAGTGAGTATAACTACTCCACTGCGACTAATTGTGAATCATCTCAGTTTATTATCGTAAGTAATCAACATTATTTTATGTTATCTCCAGGCTATTTATAAACCATCAGTTCCTGTGACTAAATTATCATATTTACCTAGCAAGCAAGTTAAGCTATTTCATAATCACCATCATAACCATGGTCATTATCAATCGATAACAGACAAGCAGTCGGCGATCGACGATACTTTTACAGAGCAACCGATAAAAGTGACAAATACACAAATTCTTACCACTTCCGCTACAATAGCCACGTCTGTTTGCAATAATTCATGCCAACAATTTAAAGTAGACATGAGTAGTTTGGATTTACAGAAGTAAGTTACAGTTTGACTGTTTGGTACTAAATGGTTTCATGGAAATCCTAATTTTCTTTTATATTCGAGTCATTGAAGCATTTTATTTACTGTCATTAATATCCTCCTCGATGCAAAAAAAAACTGGCTTGAAATCTAGAAATTTACCGCTTCATCAGGTGTACCGGGTTTGTACACTTCACTCTGGTCTCATTGATTTCCATATGGTTTCATTCGACGAAGTAGTTGTCTCAAATATAATCTTGACTTATTCCATCCAACTATTTTTCTATTATCCTCAATGATTATAGGAGGGTGATCATAGATTGGGGTATGGGTCAGTGGTTGAGAGGTTCGACTTTCAGCCAGTAAGTTCTCGATTCGAACCCCTATTGACCTATTTCGGTTTGGACAACCTGTTAATATTACTAGCCCTCACATTTAGAGTGTAGCTCGAATCCAAGTATGCAAAGTTGAACCTAGTAAATGAGTTAATAATAATAAATAGGGTAAAAAGAAACTATTACCAGTTTTTCCTACTTTTAATACATATTAAAGTTTAATGGGCTAATCAGATTAACTATAGCTACGCACTTGACTTTCAGTCACAATTCCTATGTGAAGATTTGTGAAATAACTAAGTTCTAAGGATACAAATGAAATATTTCGTCATCCAGTACAATCCCCATGTTGACTATTGTTAATGGTGTTTCATGTTGCATGAATTTTAGATTGAATCGAAATAACTAATTTGTCAAGTTCCAAATTCAGAAATCTCAGTTACATTTTGATAACTTGCTTCGCATGTGGCTTTAGCTGAATCCATATCAACGAAATAATGAGTGTATTGTGCAGCATTCCGTTCCATATTACTCTATTGCTGTGAAGTGTAGTCTATTAAAGTAGAAGAGATGTTCATGCTGCAGGTTGTCCACTGTAGGTATCTTTGAAGTATTGCTTGCTTTTCACGGAATGACCACTATGTATTTGACTGATAAGTTTTTTCGGGTGTGTATGGAGACTGGCAGTCCATCAAATTACTTAAGATTTGCATATCGTATTCCAATTATTTTTTTATTGGTTCTATTCATAGTTTGGCACGAGTGGAGAAAGCGGTGATGAAGGATAATTTTACACCAGAGGATTTAAATGATACAAGTAACAATTTTGCAATACCTAACCCAATCGAATCATCTAGTGCTTCCAATCGGTCATTTTCGGAATTTGTTATACCTACTTACCCAATTCATCGTTCGGCATATTCAGCGTTAAGAAATGTATCTCCGGGTATATCACCTTCTCCATCTTCTAATAGGCGTTTTAATTATACTATACAGCCATGTCTTCAACGACGTAGACGTCTTCGAGCAGGAGACTGTTGTGCAGGGACTTGTTCATCATGTGGACGCAGTTGTCGAAGTGCTTCACGATGGATACGAAGTAATAAAAATAGAATGATGTGCACAAACTGGGACAATTCAACAAATCGTGCCAAACAAGCCTCAGTGATTTCAGAGAGAAGGAGAGCTGCACATAGTTATGAAAACGGTTCCCATTTGACTGAATTCCCAAAGGTAATTATCCCTTTTAGCGTGAGAATAATAAGTAATTTAGTGAAAGCAGATTATATACTACTATAAATTGACCCATAAAAATGTCAATTGTGTTAATGTTTTGTGTTTCTCACCACTGATGTCTGCCGTTTTGTACCTTTTAACAACAGCGTATTAAATGATCTCACGTGATTTGTTAGCAAAACAGATTTTCATTACTCTTGGGTTTGTTCTCCTAATTGTATCAACTTTCCTAAAGTCTCCCACAATCTTATATATTCTTTACAAAACTTCTAATTTCTATTGGGACGGCTCGCGGAAAGTGTGATGAAGCCTTCAGAGGCTTTAAAGAGGCCATAGAGATCCCATCCAATTAATATCCGATAGAATCTTCTAGAATATCGACATAAGATGCTGCAATTAAACTTCATGGATTATGACGATATTACAGCATATACAAACCACTACAAATACAGATGCTTTTCTGTACATTTCTGATATTTACTGTAGCAAACGTTTTCCCTGTTTTATTTTGCATTTTGATTCGCGACTTGGAGAAGGATGTACACGTTCAAGTACCGAAGTTGCATGTCATATTAGTCGTAGTCAAGTAGCAAACATAACAGTTTCATATCGAGTATTAAATTTCTCTTTGTTAACTGTCTTTTAACTTGTAATCTATTTAAAAATTTCCTTCCAGATACCGTATAGTTGAATTTTAATTGTTATTTCTTTGTATGTTTGTGTGTCTATGCATTGTTTAGTCCAAATCGATTCAAATGAATATTCCTTCGCATCAGTCAAATTCCATAAATAATAACCATCATTCAGGAGTATATGAATTGAGTACATCAGGCGAATCGTCTAGTCTAGGGAATAATGATAAATTAAATAAATATACTATATTAGATAAATATGATGATCAGAAATCCAAACCATCATCTATCATCCTACCTGATTATCCTCTTAATTCAGTAGTAATAGCACAATCGGATGAGGATCCTTTATTAAGCATGTCCAGTGCAACTCCAGCAAGTCGTGATATGGGTTATTGTAGTGATCTGTTAGTATCGTCACCTTCCAGACCTACTGTCGAAGACAGAGTCATAGAACAAATTGAATATTGTACAGAGAACAATAGTAATAATAATAATGTTCACCATAATAATGATGACGATTATGCAGATTTGTTGAAATTTGAAGATTTATGTATGGATAAATTAAACTCTGTAGTTCATCAAGCTACATCATGTGATTCAATAGTTTCTTTGTCGAATAAACCGGAAATTGAAATTCCTTCTTTATCATCATCATCATTGTCGTCAACATCATCATCAACATCTGTCTGTCCATCATCTATAAATACTTCTGTTGCTACTGTTAAACCCACTACTATTACTACCTCAAATATATCATCTGTAGTACATTGTGAAATGACAGCATCACAGGTTGCAGATTGGCTTTGTCAATCAAATTTTGAAAATCTTCTTGAAACGTTTAAGAATTTCACAGGTAATATTATTGAACATTATTTTTTAAATCTTTAAATGCTTGTATTGTTGTCGTTAATGTTAGGTGTTTTTTTTTAATGTTTCGACAACGAATGTATTTACGTTGCAGTTGTTGTGTTGCAACTACACCACTGGAACTAAATTTCAAATTGATTAAAGTTAAGAGTATCTGATTAATGTATGTTAGTAGATGTATACTACGTGGTTGGGACCTGTATGATAACTGGGGTTAATTTTTGGAGAGTTTGGGTGGTATGCCTCAAAATTATTCACGACGATGCAAATACATTCGTCTTTTATTTTCCTATCGATCTTGAACCCTCGTTTTTCTACTTACACTTACCGTCCTACTCCATCGTTTTAAAAAATATTCTCACTGTTCAGTCTTTCTCAAAATCATTTTTACCACATTATTTCGATCTTTTTTGATATTCTTGTTAAATTCAACTCGCGTGGTATGAAAACTCAGACCAACACACATTGGTTCCGGGCTGTACGTTGATGACTGACTCACTAGCTAAGTGTTATCACTTTAAATTGAAACAGTTTTGTTATGCATCTTTATTATAAAGAGCCTAGGTGGCATGCATGACAGTCAGCATCTTAGAATAAATCTGCTACCAGTTGTGTCTTAAATATTGGCTACCATCATACCGTTCAGATCTTCCGATATTCATAAAAAGATTAAATCTTCTCGATTCGCTCAATTTTCATGCAACAATGAATCCATTATTCCCATGTTCACCCTTTGCCAAATGACTGAATAGGTTTACAAGTTTTTCAGACCAACAATCGGGGACAGTTCTCTGAGATTGCCTGTTGAAAAAAGTTTTGGCGTCGTGCTGTTCTTGTAAAGATTTTGTGGAATACAGTTACGTCTCTTTATTATTGCAAACCAGTGATGGGATTAGACAATGTTATTCATTAAGGGAATTCTTTTAATTTATGTTCTATGATATTCTGAAAACAGATCTAAATGAATGTGCTACTTGAAGATGATATTTTCAACCTTCAATATCACTGATCAAGTATTTCATAGGTTTATAGACATATTTCCTTCCTAAATGATAATACATTTATTTATGATTAGTAAACTGACTACGTGTTACAGATAAAGAATATAAAGCGATAACTTTAACGACAACTGTTATACCACGCGCTTCTACTCCCCAACTGCTTCAAAATACAAATCATATTAAGAGGATATATTAGATGAGGTCAAAGAAGACTAGATTTACATCCACGCTAATTCAGTTATCAGCTAAATGATTATTAGTTTTAGAGTTTTATTAACTGAGTTATTGTCACTCAATGCAAAATTATGGTGGAATAATCAATGCACTTAAAAACGCATTGAAGAGCAAGTAACTGAATACAACGAAGTTACATCGGAAGTTAACCAAAATAAATCGCGACAATGGGTTGAATTTGACTTGGCAAACATCCCCCTTAAATTGGTTTGAGGATATGATATTCCCAATATTACGTCACTAATGTTGTAGTGGACGACAACTCAGTTGGAGAAAAGTAATTTATTGTTAAATGAGAAATTACAATGTCTTCGTAAAATATGAAGATCATGTACTTCATTTGTACATCTTCTATCAGCTGTCTCTTATGTCTGTCAACATAAGTAGTAGACATCACAATGTGAGCAAATTAATTACATCGAAGGCTTGTAATCGATAAATGATAATCTGGAATTAATAATGAATTCATTTGTTTCATACACATAGTTCATTTTGAAAATAGCGAGAACAAACATTCTAACAGAATAGCATGAATTCATTTTTATTTCGTTGGTTCTCGTCAGTTGCTTACAACCTGTGATATTTAAAATCATAATTACATAATGGGTTTAAATGACTTACATGAAAGAGTTTGATTGGAAGTTATATTGAAGGCATATTCGTATAGTATAGCAAGGATGTAAATAAATTGAATAGACTGAATATTGTAAATCTATACCTTATGTAAAAGAACATTGTGACAACAGTTCAAACGGCTAGAAACAAGTAAACATTGATAGGAATAAAATGAGTAGAATTCAGTTGATAAAATAAGATTAATAATTTGGAAGATAGTTGAAATAAAACTCAATGAAGTAATAAATGTGAGAAAGAGTTTAAAGAAAAAGAAAACAACATATTGAGGTACAACGAAGGGATATTAGTCACCAAGGCAAGGAAAGTTTAATAACCATCTCCTTTTGAACACATAAATCAGGTTTTTGGTGTCTGATAGCAACTGCTTTAGCAAACTTCAGAAGACTGGAGTTTGGCTGCTTACTAATCACCTTGAATGATTGCAGGGTATCGACCTGATGTCTGGTATCAAGATGTTTGGTGATTGCACTATTTCGAGTCTTTCTTTCTCTTGTTCTGAGGCTTTTTGGAACATGTTCAAAAAATCTGAGATATGCCCTCCTTTCTGTTCGGCCAATGTAGCTGCTTTGGCAGGTACACGTAAACTTATAAATACAATTGGCGGTAACATGAAAAGGATGCTTACCAACCTTTGATTGAGTTATTGAACATGCTGTTTTATACAGAATTAGAAGTTTGGCAGCCGGATAAGTTCTGGCTAGCTCAGTATTCAGTCTCCTGTTGATTGTGTTTGCAACATCACCTTTGAAGTTGAGATTTATAGTAATTGGTTTTTTATTGACCGTAATTACTTCAGTATTGTTTTCTATACGCTTTTTATATTTGTTAATAAACTTTTGTGCGTAAAAGTTGTCTCGTAGGCATTTTTCCATGTTCATCAATTCTTCTTCCAGTTTGTCAATGGTACATATCTTTTCTGCCCTATAAAATAGTGTTTTAACTAATGCCTTCTTGTAACTGAGTGGACAAAAAATATGATGGTCTTTTCTGGACTATGACTATTTAACTATTGAAATTCAGCTCTGTATTTTTGCATTAAGTTTCTAAGATTTCCTCAAATGTTTCCCTTCGGTTTTTTCTTTCTTTGATTTGAGACAGATTTGATTATTTTTCAATTTTGTGTTTTCTTCCCCTATGAGTTTACTTCCAGTTCCGTTGTTGTTACGTATTAACTTATTTAGATTTTTCTTTTCAATTATTTCATTAGGTTGTGATATACTTCGTCTAGCTAAAGAAGATTTATTGTCTATTTGTGGATCATTAGAAGGCTTACGATTATATAACTCACTTTATAACAAGTAATTTGATTTGATATCCTTTTACATGATAAAACAGTTTTAATCAATTATTGATTAAAGAAGTTGGAAATATAACTCATAATCTAAGTCAGTAGTCTAGTAAATAATTGCTCTATGCAAGGTTACAGATTCGATCCTTAAAAGTGTCATCAATTCATACTTCGGAGTAGTATCATACTAAAACGAAACAATAGTTCAAATCTCGCTTGTACACAATTATACCTTGACTGAGGTCAATCTATGGTAAATACCATCTACACATTGATTATTGCTTCAGGGTGATTTTGTGGGTAGTAGGTTAGTTTGTAAATTGTTTTAATCTTAAGTTGAGATCACCTAAGAAGCGCAGGATGTATTTGATATGTGTTTCGTCCTAGTTCTATAGCTCGTCAATAGTTCTCATCCGACATTTTACATAGGCTACTTCATGTTATATTTCTTCATTATCATTTATGGCCATATGCTAGTTGGAAGAAAACACAAATATGTGATCGAATTTTAATCAGCACCCTCCATGTTTTGAAGTTCTACTGTGGCCTAGATTCCCTTTCAATTTTCAGTCGTTGTTCCGTACATAAAAAATTGACCGGATTAGTATAAATATTTCAGAATGCAGATTTGGATGACGTGGGTTCGAACTCACTAGGGAATATTAGTTCCCTAGAGATTGCACGTAGTCCTTGCCAGCAGGTGCCAAACAGGGTTTCTTGGCGACCACGTCCAATCACCTAACTTCTCAACATAGTCCAGATGATGTCGAAACACAGACTAATAACCACAGTGAAACTTAACCGATAAAATTCGATTAACGGCACTAAAATACTAGATAAACATGATATTAATCATCATTCCATGATCAATCAATTATAAAAAACTTTTCAGTTGACCAATCTACCTAAATTAAGCCAATTGTTAAATGAAGAAAGCGTGACCATTCATAGTGAGTTGATGAAGATTTGTAGCTCGTTATGTGGATGTTGATTAGGTAAAGTTGAGTTCTCTGAGCTGAATAGTTTAATTGCGAAGCTTTTTTTATCGTTTTGGACAACATCATTAGCACACATTTCAATTGTTTTTTACAAATGCCTCGTCCAGTTTGTTCTGATAACCCTGCTTCCAACTAGTTCAAAAATCTTTTGTCCTTTATATGATTGTTCGTTCCAGTGTTGGCTGTTTTGTTCAAGTTGCAAAAATGATAGGTCAGCATTCTAGCAATGTATTTAGATCTTATTATGATATATGCAACGCTGAGCTCATGACGTGGTTACCACGTTTATGACATCAACTTTTAGTTATGTAAGTCGATATGGTGATTGGTTTAACTTGATTCCTATTGACCTTGTGCAATTGTAGCCGTCTAATAACTGAAAGTTACAGTAATGACGTTTTAATATTTCCATTTTATTGTATTTATCTTGAATTGGATACTATTTAAGTAGTATACTGAATATAGATGTTTTATTATGATGTTTCTTAACAATCATTAATCATATGTTTTTCGGGTATTATTTATTCTGTTTTCTTTTTTTTTTCTAAAGACCTACAGTGCCAAGATGTACACTATACGTATGCTTGAAAGGAGAAACAAGTATGTTGTAATGAGGAGTTATTTTTTTACCTATCCTTCTTTTAGGTATTAATATTTTTCTAAATTGAACATCGTAATAGGCTAGTCTGATTAGAAATTTCCTGGTAACTAAAATCAATCTGTCATAAAAGTGCACTATGTAGTTTTGTCCACTTAATCATAAATTGCTATTCCATGTACCACTACTACTACTGACCTATTAATGTACATTAGTAATTATGTAATTGAAATATGACTTTCACTGTGATGGAATATTGGGTTTAGTATTAGAAATGACATTTGAATAATCGTTATTAAGACTGTCTCTCTTGATTTTCGTATTTAAGACTTATCACATCTCGCTACACTCTGGGGACATTTTTGCGGTGTCTAGTCATTGAGTTTGGTGATTTGAGGAATTCCAATGTCTTAGCGAAAGTTAGTTTACTGACTTAAATGACTGATTGAACATCTCGATTCACTCTGCCTTGTCGAGTTTTTCTTAAACTCCTCAATTCTAACTGCAAACAATTTACTCATATTGCGTAATTGTCTTACTCTACTTATGGTCATACTCCGGAAACCATGGTTTTAGGAATCCGTAAAGTCAGGGACTACTTTTAAGCACAACTAACTCTTTTGCTAGGATTGGAATTTTGTAAAGATTATTTAAATTGACTACCTTATACACTGGAGTAGTTCTATCAAAATAATTATTTTATCATCATATTCATTCCTACTTCCCTGACCATAGGACATGTATTACGTATGCTTATCCCCTGACTGCCTTGATGCACGATGGTTGCTAGTGTAGGAGTAGGCTGGAAAAAGCTAGGGGCGGTCAAACCAAAACATGAAACCACGGACAATTGGACTGACCCATATTAATTGATCTAGACTACCTGGTTGGGCTCTGCGCGATTATCGCAACCAGTCGTTAGAGACTTTGGGTGACCATAGCTTAAAGTCGTTCGCAATGGCAGAGACGCATTCACTCGTTGTCTTTTCTTAAATCCTAAGTTTCTGGATTCCTTTTAAATATTTTTTACTATTGCACTAATTCATATTTTCTCGAATAATATCTTTGATGCCTAATTCTTTTATTACGACTGATACTATCAAGTACCTCGATTACTCTAGAATTTCCCCTGATATTTTCATCTCATTTTGATGATGGGGTGTAGCGACGTGAATCGATGTACATATATACCAGGTTCTACGTTGCTTATATGAAAACTGACTGATTGATTCATCCCTACTTTATTTTTTTGCGTTTTGTTTACATAATTTTAGTCTATCATGCAATTATGCTCTATGAAATGAAGGTTCATGAATTACGTAGTCGAATGGCTTTTATATTATCTTGTCGTCAAGAATGCATCAAAATTATATGCCTTGTCACAGAAAATGATATTCCTGTCCTATTAACTGATGAGGTTGGTTACTTATGTTTTTCTGTTTATGTTACTGATTTTTTTCTACTAACTACAAATGAATGTGGGATTGTAGATTGTAGCAATGATATTAATAAACTGAATATTAGTTGAATTGAAATCGTAGTCATATCAGTGATAGATTGGATAGATATTGACGAACGGAAATAAAAAAGAACGGATTAATTCGATTGAGATATTAACTAGAATTTGTAACTTGACATAATTCCATACAACTTGTCTAAGTCGGCAACCGTTCAAATTCATGGGAAAAGGCTAGAATCCTATTGTGATAATCATAGATAAATCAGTTTGACCAATTGATGTTTCGTATAGTGGAGGTAAGATGTAATTTAACAGTGAATATGAGCAAACATACCCAGCCTACTGCCGATTTAATATGCGATCTCCTACCAATCATTGGTTTCTGAGTATAGATTGTTTGTAATTGTATTGAATAATGTATTGTCTAGCCTGTACTCCGATCATCTATTTTTGGTCGTAAATCACCTGTTTGGTATAGCGTTATCCAGTCTGTGTATATAACATATCAATTGAGTATTCAGTTTAGTGGTATTGAAATCTCAGTCTAGTTATCGATCGTATTATTTTACCACGACGTCACGTTTTTTTTCTGAAACAGTCTTTTCAAAATAGCTAACCTTTTATTATCTGTTTCCTTGATGAGTTGCAATAGTTGTCTTGTGTTACCTATTAGCACTTCATTTTTTATCTCTTTAACTTCCGTTGACTTATGGTAATAATGGTTCTATTAAATCTAATATAAATATTTAGTCATTTCTTCATCATGGATGGTATGAATAGAATGAAAATTCGTCTTGGTATTAATTGTACATTGAAGTGAAATCATCATTAGTATTTGTCTATTTGAAAATATCAGAATGATAACTGAAGTTATATAAAAAAATAAAGGACTATTAAAATCATACATTAAATACTTTATTATTACATCTTCTATGAGTTATCTCTCTCTGTTATTGTCTGTTTACATTCCTATTCTCTTCAATTTGAACTTAATCTTCTGCTGATAGGCATCCCACTTCTGTTTGGTGCTACATACTACTTGTATCCGTCAACACAAGTAGCATACACCACAGTATAACTTAGGAATTGTTCACAGTAGTATAGAAGCATCCGTTTTGTATCTTCCTTTGATATTGACCATCTAAATAATTATTCCGATCTCTTTTATTATACATCTTGTCAATTTAAATCTAGTCGTCATAACGTGGCTTATCGACTTGATCCAACGGATATTTGTATCATTCTTTACTTTGATTTATGATCAAGCAAATTGTATACTGAATAATGTGTAACATTCTCGTCAGATTGCTATGCAATCTTATTGATTCATTCTAAAATATCTTAATTTATCATGCAAACAAAATCAATAGAGAAATTAGTTAATTAATCAATTAGTTGGTCAATTAGAAATAACACTGGAACATAACCAGTGTTAATATTCATTTCAGTGATCACATCTATCTATCTATCTATCATCACCATACAGCATTACAAAATTAAACTTTATAAGACAGAATTTGAAAAAGTTCAAATAATATGGTGGTTGTAGTGTAGTACCTGTTTGTAAATGTTAGAT